ATCTGGCCCGGTCTCAAGAGAGACGCACTGGAGTGGTCTCGCAACTGCATCGCCTGTCAACGCTCAAAAATTCAGCGTCACAATCGTCTGACACCCAAACACATCGACGTGCCAGACACTCGCTTCAACCATGTACATCTTGATCTCATCGAGCTTCCAGTGGTCAACCAGCTCAGGTAATGTCTAACAATTATCGACAGATTCTCCAGGTGGCCCGCAGCGATCCCCCTGAAGGATATGACAGCTGACACCGTCTGTACCGCATTCTACACCCACTGGATTGCTCAATTTGGCACACCTCTCACCATCACGACTGATCAAGGCTCTCAGTTCGAGTCTGCACTCTTCAAGGCCCTGACTCAGCTGATTGGTGCTAACCGCATCAGAACCACACCGTATCATCCGCAGTCTAACGGACTAGTTGAGAGGTGGCACAGAACTCTAAAAACAGCTCTAATGTGCAACTCACAAGCTCCATGGCCCGACGTTCTTCCGACAGTCCTCCTCGGTCTCCGCACGTGCTACAAGGAAGACCTGAACGCTTCTCCTGCTGACCTAGTCTTTGGGACAGGTTTACGCGTTCCAGGCGAGTTTTTTGTTTCGGAGGACATGCCAGCAGATCCCCAGATCTTCGTCGAGAAGTTTCGCGAGCACATCAGAAGCCTGAGACCTACTCCAACTGCTCATCACACTAAAGAGCGCATGTTCCTCCTAAAAAACCTCTACTCCTGCTCTCATGTATTCCTCCGCATCGATGCAGTCAAACGACCCCTGGAACCACCTTACTCTGGACCTCATGAGGTGATCGAGCGCATAGACGATCACACCTTCAAAATCAAGGTCGATGGTGTTGAGAAGGTCGTATCGGTGGAGAGACTCAAGCCAGCCAATGTGGCTAAGGAGCATCCTGCAAATCATCAACAACCTCAGCAGGCTGAGGTACCTGACAACATCGAACCCCCGTTGCCGTCCACTAGCATGGATCGACCTCTTCGTACTTATCCCAGGAGAGACAAGACTGTTTCGTTCCCTTCGAATCCTCCGAAGGTTACTGGGGGGGGAGTGGTTGTGGCGACTCCGTCCGCCGCAGTTCCCACTTCGTCCACGGCGCAGCGCGCCGATCACCCTCAAGGCGCAACCCGTCGCCCGCGGAAGCAAGCCTTGATACCAAAATTATTCTACGCCTAACGCTCACACCACACGTGAAGCATACGATATCATTCATTCCAAAGTTTAATTTGTATTGACTATTTCTACCTCTGATAATAATAAATATTAGTGTTGTTACATACTGCGGTGATTACTCTATCTTGGGGAACCCTCATAATAAGCTAAATTACCAACTTGGTCGGTCAAGTCGGTCGCAGTCGGAGATCACGGGGGGATGTTGTTTGCGCATTAAATACTGATGAAATACTAATGAATTTTTGAATGAGAAGAACTTGTCCAGAGTTACTCCGCGCTTTGAAACTTCATTGCTCCGCTCCCAATAGAGATTAAGGCAAGATAATGAATAAAACCGCTGTCATTTATTGAGAATATAATTCTCGATCGATAAACGTTGCTTTCATTCCTTCCTCGC